AAGGAATATCTTATCTTATGTTATTATTCACTGGCTTTGTCTTTGTTGTCCCACCGTCCTTGAACGCAGCTGTGTAACCTCACCGCCCCCTCAGTCTCTTAGTAACCGCCCACAAAGTTACTCAGCCAGGTGACAGCTGAGCCAAGCGGGGACACTCAACGCAACATAACACACACAACACAACGATACCTGTCAGCGCCACATCAACGTGGAGCCACTCCAACTCCGCCACTCCAAGCTCTACTTGTCGTATTGTTGCTGTTGTTGTTGTTATTTTTGTTTTTTACACCGCTACGTTATTTGACGCCTCTCTTCCCATCTCCATCTCTTGTCCGCTCGTTGTTGCGGAGGCAGCCTGCTGACAGCAGCGCGAGGACATAATTCCGACCAGAGAAGGCTCAACGGCTGTAACGTTTCTTGTGAGCCGTTAGCGTCAGACAGCCGCAGACGTCATGTCAGATCCGAGCGGGGAGGCGAAGCTGGAGGTGAAGCAGGCGAGCAAAGAGGTGAAAGAGAGCGAAAACGTAGCGGAAAAATACTCTGCCATGACCGTGAGCAAGAATAGTGAAATGAACATGGGAGAGCTGTCGTCCGCCTTCAGCGCTGTGCCCACTCACAAACCGGTTAAAAAGGTAAGAGTTGAGTTGAATACACAGTGCAGCTATTGTGTGCTTTTAATCAGGTGGTGTGAGGGCTCAGTGGTAGCCCTAAACACGGGTTTATATTATGTTACACACTGCTGTTTGCTGCCCACAATATCATATTATTGTTAGTATATTAGGAGGGCATTCGTTATTAGTCTAATTAATTAATATCCTCCAGTGCTTTGCTAAATAAGGGGAATTATATAAGAATCAGGTTTATTGTCAAGCAGCTTTACACATACAAGAAATTTGCCTTGGTAATATTAATAAGACAAATAATAGAGGAGCCAATATATACAAATATAAAAAGATATAACAGAATATATATATATATATATATAACACATTTAAATGAATTTACATATTTAAATATGCACCAATAGGGATTTGCATAACACAGAATATAATTTAACTAATATGAATTTTCTCAATCAGTGTAAAATAAAGCCTACAATGACTATTAACTGCATATTAGTACTGATTGTGATATAGGTATATTATATGTTACAAAACTTTGATTAGGGGATTTTTGAAAGTCTGTTTTTCTTTACCCAGATTGTGAAGTAGTAAGAAGGGACACTTTGTGCAGGTTGTGCTTAAAAGTATTTTAAAGTTACCATCGTCTACATGTGTAGAATGACTGATACTGAAAGTTTGTTTTTTAAAAGCTCAAAATCCTCTATTTCCTTCACAGAGACAGTCAGTTTCACCTCACTTGCTTGTTTCCTAACGTCTTCCACTTTAAGGAAACGACAGAGAAACGTATGGAGGATGTTAACTGACACCTTCGAGGAAGAAGGAAGAGTCGCACCTGGAATTCTTGAGGCTTTAGACCTGAAAGTATTTGCACACCTCATTTACGTTGGAGTGGACAAACGATTACCGGTTCGCCAGAGTAAAAGCAACATGATCTCTCTGTGTAGTGCTTTACAATTCAACAGCACCTCAAACAAAGTACATCCTGCAAAATGATCATACAGTAGAATCAGCACCTCACACTGTAACCTTTAGGAAGCAGGATTTAGAGGCAGGACTGTTTTATTAGCCTACATTAATACCTAATAAACCCGCAAATGAGTGTGTAGGTCAACTGTGATCAGGAAACAGCCTGAGATTTGTTAGTCAGCCCGGTTGCCTCAGTACAGACTGACTGTTTCACATCCTCATTCTCTTTATGGGACGGATCTCCAGCAGAACAGTTTTTGATTTTGTTATGTTTGGTTTAAAGTTGTGCTCTCTGGGTAGATGCGTGGGTGTCTTTAACACAAGGGGCGGGAAATATTTGCTCATCATATCATCCGGTGCCAAATAATAAAACAGAAATCAGGTCATGGTAATACAGTTACCATAATTCACATTTATATTTAACAACTTTATGGCCAACCTAGAATCCAACAAGACAAAGCTTTTAACCCACTTCCCCACGGTGAACTAGAGACAGCTCCTGTAAATATGAATTCGTTCGTGGTCGTGTTTTGTGAGACACAGCAAGGAAAAAAATGGCGTTAAATGATGGCTGCTGTCATTCGTCGTGTAAGTAAAGGTTGTCCAACAGTTTGCTGTGTCCATGTGGTTTTTGCCCTCAGTGATCCAGGGTCAAAGCCCGGGGGTAAACATATACCTGGACACAGAAATGATTAGCTTTTGTTAAGGTGTTATGTTACAGATGTTTAGTTTAATGGTTATGTCTTGTAGTTAATATTTAGGCATTCATGGGAAAGCTTACAAATGATTATGCGCGGCAATGAGGTTGGAGAAGCTTGTTGGAAGGTTAAGTATGTGGTTTTCTGTGGTTGTGTTAAATTTGACTCACTCAGTCATGCCCTTTTAATAATATTCGTCCCAGTAATCTCTTTGACGGGCATTTTAAAAACAATACTGATAACTGAGCAACGAATACTGTAGGCAAGGAAAGGTATAGTTAAAGTTTGGAAAGAACCACCAAACAGGAAATGATACAATAATACAATGAGTGGATTTAATCTTTAATACGGCTCTCAGTCAGTCTGCAGCCCGCTCTGTCCTGTCCAGGGAGAAAGTATGTGGTGTCGTGTCACCTTAATCTCAAGAAAACAGCTTTGCATTGTTCTTCGTTGCCGTGTTGTTTTCACTGGTATGTGGAAGGTTTTCAGGACCAGGTCTAAAGCTAGAAACTAGAGACTGACCATATCAGAACGAAGAATTTGACTCTGAAGCTGAGTGATAACAGGAACCGAATTACACTATAGTCTGATTTATAAACACGCTCTGATTCTCGATACCTCAGAGCAGGGGTGTCAAACTCAAAAAC